ATCAATAAGTAAATGTAGTAACCTGTTTTTCGTATGGCTTTGGAACATATGGATAGGTCACTTTTGGTGTAAAACGATGATCGCACTACTTTTTATCTGGTTTTAACAAATTCATTATATCTACACTTGTTTTCAGGACTGATTAAAGGCTTTTGTAGTAGTTTCGGGTAACGTTAATTCACTCTCCATGAAATGTCAGTGAGAGATTTAAATATGGAAAAACCTACAGTAATCCATCGAAGTAATCAGTCCAATCCAGAAGCTGGCTAATTCAGTGAAGAACTGTGACTGAAACAATGTTGGAAAGTAATTTAACAACGTTAGTCGTTCTAAAGAGTCTAGGCACGAAAGTAAATTTGTACACATCCAAGAGAATACAAGTTCCCTCAGTTTATAATCTCTTGGCTCATCGCATTTGGTTGCAAACTACTAATAGCGTTGTTCTCACCTCTTTGTAGAAAAGTCGAATAAGATTATAGAGGAAGCCTTTTGTGGTTGGTCCACGAAAATTCAACTTACTTATCTGCAAAAAATTGCTCTGACAAGTTATGCTCGAACAGTACCCCTCGAGCTCGTTCAAAGAAACCGCTTGTCAAAGACAAAAAGCCGTCAGTTTATTTTACTATCTCTGCCATTTATTATTTTGAATAATGACAATAAAATATTCAATCTAATTCGGGCAGGTCTCACTCGGAGTTTGCAGTGTCAATCAATAACTCACTTTACTATTTTGCTTTTACACCATATTACCATATTGGGACAATCTTCCCCGTGTAAACCATCGAATAAGGTGTATCTGTTATTCATTAATATTTCAGTCCTTTTACTTCGCTGCTTGATAACATCGGAAAAGAAAACGTTGTTAAACGACCCAAAATTGTCTTTAAGACATGAAAAACGGAGGAAAAAGGATCACGTTTTTGTTATACTTGACGTAGCAGTTGTCAAGTTACTTGATGATTGCTTTCCTAATTTTGATGATTTTAGCGAACCTTATTTGCCCAGCTTCGCGTTATTGAGCACTTTAAAATGGAAAATTGCAGACATTTCCTGTGGCGTTTACTGAGAGGAAAGGCGTCACAACAGTTGAGCCAGGAAAATGGTATTATGAAAATGAACACATTTACTGTCTGCCGTATCATTTGTTTGCCAGATTGGTGGAGTAAGCTGAGTTTAGGCAGCGCCGTTTTTCCGAGACAGTTAACTAGCTTTGACTCATCAAAACAACATGTGTGTATGTGTCCAGAAAAAAAAATTTACTTTATTAAAGCCTAAAAACTGACAAATCTAGATCGATACAACTTACCACTGTGCAGCTTAATTTTTCTATTGACAAAGCCACGTTTACAGTACGAGTACAGACTTGAATTTTTTTGCGGACGATGAATCATGCACTAAAAATGATGAAAATTACAGAATAATAAGCGAGGAAGTTCTGTTAACGGTTGATGTCTTAATTTGAGTGATATTTGACATTCAGAACAAATTGTAGAATCAACCAACTTTCATTTTCTGGCAAATGATGCTATAATTTTACTGACGATAAAAGCTGTAATCCTCGTAGAATTAAGAGAGATGAAGATTACAAGAAAATATTTTACGTCTTGTGCCTGTTGTGTCGATAGACCTCATGCTGTTGGAGGAAAAACAGTCCAAAATCTGTTTGTATTGTTATAATGACCTTCTGTAAAAGGACGTTTTCTGATTGGTGCAGCTCAGTGGGTATGTTCCATCTGCTAATACTCACCTCATTTCAAAGCATTACTCTGAAGTAGAAAAAGAAGTGAAATACTCAGGGCCCAGTTAATTTTTTTTCATGTCTCTATTTTTTTCCAGATGATGGAGTCAAACGTTATTTTGTGAGCATCATTATAAACATATATGATGAAATACCAGGAATTTTCCTTTTACTAAAAAATCATATCTTCATCGCACGCAGTGGAGATACTATTTAACAATTATTCCACGAGCGCGCGTTGGATATGAGATGATAGATAGCCAACGAGGCGCGTAGCGCCGAGTTGGTTATAATCATCTCATATCCAACAAACGTGAGTGGAATAATTGTTTTATTAAAAACGCTGCATTAAATTATTAAATTTTTAGCTCTTTTTTAATTTTAAGCTGACACGTACGCTTACCATATATTGGCTCATATACTTTCATATACTTACCATTATATACCGTATATTGGCTCATATACCATAATAGCTAAGCCAATAAAAAGTCTTGAATTGCATTATCCAATGATCTAGTTTTTAATAAAAATAATTATCTTTCACGTGTGACGATATTGGTGTCGCCATGGTTACTAACATGATGAGCCAACTACAAGGGAGAAATGAATAAAAAAAGTTGTGTTTTATGTGGAAATTTCATCAGTATCTATAAAATAAACAGAACATGACATGGCTGCTTGGGGATACGAATTTCAACCTCTCGTGCTTAAAGTATCCCTCAGTCGTTCGCTTCGCTCACTCGTGAGAGATATTAGCTTACA